CCCCAAAACCCCAAAACCCCAAAACCCCAAAACCCCAAAACCCCTTTAATAATATCATTAGCTGAAATTCGGATAAAATAACTAATTTTTGATCAAGTATAATTAATTTTTAATTGGATCAAAACATATCCATCAATGGCAAAGATTCATTTGGGAGAAGATAGCAAGAGTCTAGCAGTCAGAATCGTAGCACATTTCACTCGTGCTATTGACGCAGAGGTAATTCAAATTGTTGAGACAACAAGTGAAGAGCATAAGGAGGAAAAATTACTCTCAATACCTGCATTAGTTACTTCAGAGGATGGCAGAAAGTTTGTGAATTACTCTCCTTATTCAATCATTGAGCATATTTGTAAGCTGACTCATTTTCAGAAGGGTTTCGTTGGCAAATCAGAACTTCAGCAGTCAAAGATTTTATCCTACTTTGAGGTAATTGAGAAGCAAGATGAGAAGATATTAGCTGAGGCACTCAATAATGACCTCAAATTAAGAACTTATCTAGCAGGCTACAATATCACAGCAGCTGATATTTTTGCTTACGCCCATATCATCACTTACGCTAAAGGTTTGAGCAAGAAGGATTTGAGCCAACATGAAAATTTGTTTAGATGGATCGACCAAATCCAGCACTCTTCAGGTATCCAAAAATTTGCTGTTGATCATGATTTATTGATCATTTCTGCTGATGACCTCGTCGATCCAGCATCTATGGAGGAGACAAAGGAAGCTAAGCCTGAGAAGAACAACAGCAAGAAGGATAAAAAGCAACAGAACAAGGGGAATAAGCAGAAGAATAACCCTCCTGCAAAGAAACAAGGAGAGGTCGATTACAAAGCGGAGCCTGTGACATTGGTCGACTTCAGAGTTGGGCACATTGTTAAAGTCTGGCCACATCCTGATTCTGATTATCTCTACTGTTGTAGTATTGATATTGGAGAAGAAGAGCCAAGAAGTATTGCAACAGGACTCCAGAAAGTTGTCCCTATAGAGGTCATCCAAGATGCAATGGTCATTGTCGCTGCTAATCTAAAGGCTAGGAATATGGGAGACTTTAAGAGTGATGGTATGGTTCTCTGCTCTGAGAACGAGGATGCTACCAATTTTGAGCTATTAACTCCTCCAGAAGGAGCAGTTCCTGGCGAATTCGTCACATTTGAGGGGTACGGAAGGAATCCTCCAGATAGGCTCAACAAGAAGAAAAAGATATTTGAAACTGTTCAGCCTCATTTCAAGCTTGATGGGGAAGGAATTGCCCACTACAAAGACGCGAAATGGTTGATTGGAGATAAGGGGCCTGTCTACTGCAAGACTTTCAGGAATGGGGCCATATCATAATATTTCTCTCCAATTTATTAGATATTAAGCGGGGTTTTGGGGTTTTGGGGTTTTGGGG